AAAACTAAAAACAATTAGCTGGGAGTGGTGGTTCCCACTGAGTCCCAGGCTACCTAGGAGGCTGAATTGGGAGGATTGCTTGAGCCCAGGAGGTCAAATCAAGACCGTGTCTCTAAATAAAGAGCAGACAAATAAATTAATTTTATTTATTTAAGAAAGTAAATCTCAGATTTCATCACATTTGCTGACTGCTTATATAATTGAAATAACCAAATATGGCCAGTTAGAGTATACCAACTTTTTCAATAACAAAGCCAAACAATGAAACTTCACAGAGCCAGATTCACCTTTAATCACTTTTTAAGTGATTTAATTTGAATGTCAGTGTTGTTTTTAATTGAAATAACATTTTCTTACTCAGAAAGTTTCAAGATTATCTCATTGTAAGCTTTCATCTTTACTACTAGCCTGTTAAACAAATTACTTGAAATATTTTGCTTCCTAACTGGTCATCACATGTAGGTTCAAAAAGCATGTAGTTTTTGAAGCTTCTTATCAGGGTCCATTAGGGATCTCTTCTATAGACAGATAATCAAGTTGTCAGTACATACCTCCTCTGAGACTGTGTCCTTTTATGAGATTAGTCTTACAGCAGGTGAAATTTGTCCATGTGAATATTACCAGTTGCCAAGATACAGCTATCCTTTTGTTTCTTAAAAATATATGTGATATTTTTCTGATTTCTAATTAAAAGCCAAATATACTTGACTGTTGTATGAAACTAATCTACATTTCCTCCATGCAAATAAGACAATATTTACTTAGTACTCTCTGTATTAATAACAATTAAATGGATAGCTTTAACAGTCATTAGACTTTGGGCTCCTTGAGGAGCCCTGTGTGTTGCACAGTGGCTCCCCAGATTGTAGCAACTCAGGTTTGTTGGACAAATTCTCTAGGAAGAAGACTATGAATGGGGGAGTAGTTCCATACTTGATGTTTTGACTGGAATCAATGTACAGCAACGAAGACTAGCACTTGCAGCTATGAGATGGAGAAAAAAAATCCAGCAAAGACAAGAATCTGGCATTGTTGAGGTATTAAAATACATAATTATATAGGTAATACGAATAGCATTCAGTATTGTGACTTTTTTTTTTAACGAGAACATACTTGAGGAAATAATGATTCTACTTATCTTTTTCCCTTGATGTAAGATATATATATTTATTTTTTTGATGGCTCTTTTAAAAATATTTATATATGTAAAATGTGGCCCATATTGCATTTCTTCCAAAGAATCTTTTCAGCATCTAATGTTAGGGGTTCTTGACCTGAGTCCATAGACCCTCTCAAAGGAATTTGTAGTTCAAATCTGGGAAGGCCATGTACTTTGCATGGAGAGAAAAATACATCCTTATTTTTACTAACCTCTAATAGAAAATTAGCACTTCCTGTCTTTTTTTTTTTTTTAATTAGCCTACATCATGCTTTGAGAAAACTCGCACTTCCTTTAATTAAAGGTCTAGGCAACAAATCACAACACTATCAACTGTACCTGTAATTTTGCACTAACAGAAATCACGTTTCTGTTTTGCATTATAATTGCAAGCATCTTGAAATACTGTTTGTGTTCACCAGTACTTTATATTATTTGTTAGCTGTTGGTTTATCAAGAGAAACTATTACTTAGGCCACATGTTCATGTTTCATAGTTCAGGAACACAAGTCAAAGACAAAATCTGTGTATTAATGATTCAGTCCAAAGACATTCTTTATATTCCAAAATAACTTTGCATTCTGAAACATAATAGGACTGTTCATCTCAAAATCTTTCATGGAATCATAACTTCTGCAGAAATCTTCATATCCTCTCTGTTTTGGTTCAGCCACAGCAAAAAGAGCTGCAACCCTAGGGATGCAACGAATGCTCCCACAATATGAAATCACAGACACTTGACCAGAAGGCCACATATCTGAGGTTTCATCAAAGCACTGGAAGCCATATTAGTTACTGTCTGCTACTTTAAAACTATAGTAGTTATTAGACCCACCACTAGGTCATATGATTTAATGCATTAATATAAAGCACATCTATAATTACATCACAAATTTGTTTTTAGTATTTTGATAACTGTCAATAAAATCACTTCCTTTTGTAATCCTTTATATTTTAACATTTTCTAAAAATCACCCATAAGGTTTGGGAATTATATCTCAATACAGCTATTATTTAGAGGAGTCTAATGACCAGACTGCCAAAGGGATCCATGGCTCACAAAAAGGTTAATTGTATTAGTTCGTTCTCACGCTGCTATGAAGAAACACCCGAGACTGGGTCATTTATAAAGGAAAGAGTTTAATTGACTCACAGTTCCACATGGCTACAGAGGCCTCAGGAAACTTACAGTCATGTAAGAAGCAAACACGTCCTTCTTCACATGGTGGCAGGAGAGAGAAGTGCAGAGCAAAGTGGGGAAAAACCCCTTATAAAACCATCAGATCTCCTGAGAACTCACTATCATGAGAACAGCATAGGGGAACCACTCCCACCATCTGATTACCTCCCACGAGGTCCCTCCCCCAACACTTGGAGATGATAATTCGGATTACAATTCAAGATGAGATTTTGGGTGGGGATACAGCCAAACCATTACCAGAACCCCTGAGTTAAGTAGCCTTTTATGTTGTATTCTAAGTTCTCTGATATTTCCAAATCCTTATTAGCCATGATTCCCTCTCTTTTAGAGTAATTCTACTGGCTTTTGTTAGTTGTTATTCCCTGCCTAAATATTTTGTGTTTCTAATTTGCAAACATTTTTAAGAGAAGTAAAATGCAGGCTTCATCTAACCTAAGAAGCTGTGCTTTAAGCTCTTCCCTTGATTAATCATAAGAAAAAAAATACCAGAAAAGACTAAACATAAATCACACTGCTTTGTTTTAATGTTACCTAATCATTAAATGGTTTCTCATTCCTCAAGTATTTCTTGATGGCCTACTATGTGCCAGATACCATGGATTCACGTTTCAGTGTTCTGACCAGAGATAATTATACTGTGGCAAAAGTAAAGTTTATAAGATTTAATGACAAAACTGAGTCTACAGGCAAAATCATGTCTTACCTGTATTATTTTGTTATTTTCCAAATGATTTCACCACTGATTATTTTTTATTTGTAGGGAGCATTTAGTGGGTGGAAGGTTATTTTACATGTGGATCAGTCTCGAGAAGCAGGCTTCAAACGCCTTCTTCAGTCAGGAGGAGCAAAGGTTTGTATCATATTAATTTCCTGACCTTTTTACATAAATAATCATCTAACCAAGATTGCTATAATCAGTTCTGCATTTTCTCTACTTTTTGAAATGGTAATCCTTAAGTACATATTACACAGCTGAACTACTTTGGAATACTGGTAGATTGTGATACTACTTGTTTTTTCATTAGGTGCTACCTGGTCATTCTGTACCTTTATTTAAAGAGGCCACACATCTTTTTTCTGACTTGAATAAACTGAAACCAGATGACTCAGGAGTTAATATAACAGAAGCTGCTGCCCAGAACGTGTACTGCTTGAGAACAGAATACATTGCTGATTATCTCATGCAGGTTTGTGAGAGTCTATCCTTGACCTCATTACTAAAGATATGTTTATATGCATAGATAAGTAACTGCACAACAAAACCTTCAGCTCGTGATTAGTAGAACATTAGTCTCCTGTTATTCTCCTCTATTCAAGCCCTTTCAGTTTTATTCTATTTGTATTTTTTATAATAATGAACACATTATGTAAACATTTAGCTTGGAAGTTAAATATGAGAAGAGTATAAAAATCTAGCTACCTCTAAAGGCTTTAAAAATACCCTTTAAAATGTTGGAATATAAAGAAAGCAGAAATTGATTCCAGAAGTCCAAGAAGAAACATTTACTCAAAGGTCCTTTAGTTTTCTTGTCTGTTTGCTTTCATGTGCTTTAAATACCTATGTTAGTTAGACACTGTGGTAAATGTAAGCATTTGCTATATGGTGGGCTTACTACTGTCATATTCAGAATTGGCCTGTGTTGTGTAATTTGAATGGGGTAAGAAAAATCTTGCTGACACCAGAGTGCCTAAAAGGCCATCAGGAATCAGCAGGCCTGACACATAATCATAAGGATTAGATTTCATAATCATCATCTATGAAGGATTTCAAATGGGATGGTGTAGAAATAAGGGGAGGCCAGAACTCAAAGTCAGCTTTGCGATTTTGCTGCTTGTGTTTGCAGATTGCTCAGGATTTAATAGAATGCCTAAAACAGAAATGTGAAGCCATTATACAGCAGAGGGCATACTGATTAGTATCCACTATTTTATCTAAGGTTTTCACTGAACGTGATGTTTTTGACATTCATTTAAGTTTCAGTGTATACCAGTAGTTCATTCCTTTTTATTGCTGAGTAGTATTTCTTTGTCTGAATATACCATAGTTTATTCATTTTCCTGTTGATGGACCCCTGGGCTGTTTGTCATCTTGGTTATCATTAGTAAAGCAACTAAAAATACACAGACTTTATTATGGACATATTTTTTCATTTCTCCTGGGTAAATAGGACAGAATTGCTGTGTAATAGAATAAGTAAATATTTCGTGTTTTTTTGTTTGTTTGTTTGGTTTTTTTTTTGAGACGGAGTCCCGCTCTGTGGCCCAAGCTGGAGTGCGGTGGCGAGATCTCCGCTCACTGCAAGCTCCGCCTCCCGGGTTCACACCATTCTCCTGCCTCAGCCTCCTGGGTAGCTGGGACTACCGGTGCCCGCCACCATGCCCGACTAATTTTTTGTATTTTTAGTGGAGATGGGGTTTCACTGTATTAGCCAGGATGGTCTCGATCTCCTGACCTCGTGATCCACCCGCCTTGGCCTCCCAAAGTGCTGGGATTACAGACGTGAGTCACCATGCCTGGCCTAATATTTCATTTTTTAAGAAGCTGCCAGGCCTTTTGCAAAAGGGATTTTTACCATTTTATACTTCCCACCAATAATATAGGGATTGAGCATCCCAAATCCGAAAGTTAGAAATGGTACAAAATCCTAAACTTTTGAACACTGACGTGATGCTCAACAGAAGTGCTTATTGGAACATTTCTGATTTCTGGATTTCCGACGCTCAACCAGTAAATATAAATATTCCAAAATCTGAAATACTTCTCATTCCAAGCACTTCAGATAAGGGATACTCAATCTGTGTAAGCCTTCCAGTTATTCCATATTTTTGTCAACGTTTAGTGTTGACAATCATTTGATTTTTAGCCATATGGTAGGTTTACAGTGGGAGCACATTGTATCTCCCTGATGACTAAGGATACTGAGCGCTTTTTCTTTCATGGTTTGTGTGTTTGTTTGTTTTTTGGTGTGTGTGTGTATTCTCTAATATGTTTTCTAAAAAGTTATTGTTTTAGCTTTTATGTTTATCTCTATGACCTATTACAAATTAATTTTTCTTTATGCTGTGAGGTATGGACCAGCGTTGGTTTTTTCCCATATAGATATCTAGGTGTTCCAGCACCATTTGTTGAACAGATTTTCCTTTCCCACAAAAGCTTTGGCATCTTGATAAAAAAATCAAATGATCGTGTTTTTGTTCTGTTTCATTATCTACTTGTTGATACGTTTCCTACTGTGTCTTGATTACTGTAGCTGTACAGCAACTTTTGAAGCTAGTATTAAGACTACAATTTTAGTTGTCTTTTTCAAGGTTATTTCGGTATTCCATGTCCTTTGCGTTTCCACATGGACTTTAGAATCAGCTTGTTAGTTTCTATAAAAAAAAAAGAAAAAAAAAAGGCCTAGAGTGGTTAAGATTAGGATTGCACTGACTCTATAGATTAACTTGGGGACAGTTAACATCTTTACAGTATTGAGCATTCTATTCCATAAACCTAGAATGTCTCCAGTTAGGTCTTCTTTAATTTCTTTCAGCAGCATTTTGTGGTTTTTCAGTAAGGGAACTTACGTATCTTTTGTTAAACATATTCCTATTTTGTGATGCTATTGTAAATGAAAATTTTTAGATGTACGTTGATTTTTTTTCTACCATTTGCTGCCAATCCATAAGAGTATAAATTTTGTATATTATTATTTATTTATTTTGAGGCAGGGTCTTACTCTGTTGTCCAGGCTGGAGTACAGTGGCGTGATCTTGGCTCACTGCAACCTCTGCCTCCCAGGCCCAAGAGATCCTCCCACCTCAGCCTCCAAAGTAACTAGGACTACAGGCATGTGCCACCATGCCCACCTAATTTTTTTTTGGCAGGGGGAGGGGTAGAGGCAGGGTTTTGCCAGGTTGACCAGGCTGGTCTCAAGCAATCCACCTGCCTCGGCCTCCCAAAGTGCTGGGATTACAGGTGTGAGCCACCATGCCTGGCCTGTCACTCTTTTATACCCTACGATCTTAATAAAATTCACTTAATACAATTAGTACCTTAGGTTTTCCTACATAAGCAGTCATTTTATCTACAAAGAGATTTGTGGATTGTCCCTTCCTTATGCCTCTTATTTCTTGTTGTCTTACATGGCTAGGACCTCAGTATGCTGCTGAACAGAAGTGATGAGATTGGCCTCCTTATCTCCTTGTCCCTAGCCTAGGTGGAAAGTGTTCAATATTTCACCAGTATTTCACCACTTATAGGTTCTTCATAGATTTCTTTTCCAGATTGAGGAAGAGCCCTTTTATTCCTAGTTTACTAAGATTTCTTTTTCATCATTAATTGGGGTTAACTTTTGTTAAATGTCTTTTTCTACTTCTGTTGGAGTTGTTATAAGGTTTTTCTCTTTCATTCTATTACTATGGGAAATTGCATACATTTTCAAATGTTAAGTTTCATGTATCAATCCCATTTGATCATGGCATATTAATCTTTGTATATATTGCTAGATTTATTTGATGAAGAATTTTTAAAATCTGTTTTCAAGGTGGGATATTGGTATGTAATTCTCATTTTTTGTAATGTTTTGTCATATTTTGGTATTAGGGTTTTGCTGGCATCATAAACAAGGTGGGAAGTGCTCCCTCGGTTTTCTCAAAGAATTTGTGTAAGATGCCTATTTCTTCCTTGAATATTTGAAGGTCTGGAGTTTTCTTTTTTATTTTATTTTATGTTTTTGAGACATGTTCTGGCTCTGTTGCCCACACTGGAGTGCAATGGCATGATCTCAGCTCACTGCAACCTCCGCTTCCTATGCTCAAACAATCCTTCTACCTCAGCCTCCTGGGTAGCTGAGACTACAAGCGCACACTACCACTCTCGGCTAATCTTTGTATTTTTGGTAGAGACGGGGTTTCACCATGCTGGACTGAAGCGATCCCCTCGGCCTCCCAAAGTCCTAGGATTATAGGCATAAGCCACCTGACCTGGAGTTTTCTCTTTTTTTTTTTTTTTTAAGATGGAGTCTCGCTCTCTCACCCAACCTGGAGTGCAGTGGCGCAATATCAGCTCACTGCAACCTCCACCTCCCAGGTTCAAGTGATTCTTCTGCCTCAGCCTCCCAAGTAGCTGGGATTATAGGCATGAGTTGCCATGCCTGGCTGATTTTTGTATTTTTAGTATAAACGGGGTTTTAACCATGTTGGCCAGGCTGGTCTCGAACTCCTGACCTCAGGTGATCCACCTGCCTTGGCCTCCCAAAGTGCTGGGATTACAGTCGTGAACCACTGCACCCAACCTGGAGATTTCTTTATACGTGGTTTTTGGTACCAAATTTTCTTTACTAGATACAGAGCTTTTCCTATTTTCTGTTTCATTATATGTCAGTTTTTAATAACTGGTAATTTTCAAATAATATGTCCATTTCATCTTATCAAATTTGTTGGCATAAAGTTCTTCATAAGATTATTATTATCCTTTTAGTGTAATAAGTTTATTCCTGCCTGGGCACGGGGGCACACAGGCCTGTAATCTCAACACTTTGGGAGACTGAGGTGGGCAGATCATTTGAGGTCAGGAGTTTGAGACCAGCCTGGCCAACATAGTGAAACCCCATCTCTACTAAAAATACAAAAAAATTAGCTGGGCCTGGTGGCGTGTGCCTGTAGTCCCAGCTGCTCAGGAGGCTGAGGCAGGAGAATTGCTTGAACCTGGGAGGCAGAGGTTGCAGTGAGACGAGATCATGCCACCGCACTCCAGCCTGGGCGACAGAGCAAGACTCCGTTTCAAAATAAATAAATAAATAAGTTTATTCCTGATATTGGCAACTTGTGTTCATTTATAGCTGACTTATTTAGGAGTCTGTTGTTTAGTTCCTAAATATAAGAGAATTTTTTTCCATCTTTTTAATTTGTGATTGCTCATTGAATTCCATTGTAATCACAGAACATACTCTCTGATTTTAATTATTTTAAAATCATTGAGACTTGTTTTATCGCCCAGCTTCATCTCTCTTAATGAACGTATCGTGTATGTGAAAGATTTTATATTCTACAGTTGTTGGGTGTTATGTTCTGAAAATATCAAATAGGTCAATGTGGTTGATAATGTTGATCAGATGTCCTGTGTATGTGGTTTTTTTTGGTTGTTTAGTTATATCAATTACTGATACTAAAATCTCCAGCTGATTGTGGAATTGTCTGTTTTTTC